CGAACTCAAATACCTGTACTTTCTACTTCTTACATGTTGAACTCAAATGCCTGTACTTTCTACTTCTTACATGTTGAACACAAATACCTGTACTTTCTACTTCTTACATGTTGAACTCAAATACCTGTACTTTCTACTTCTTACATGTTGAACTCAAATACCTGTACTTTCTACTTCTCACATGTTGAACTCAAATACCTGTACTTTCTACTTCTCTCATTTCCCAAACAGGCTGGTTCCTTTAGTCTGAATGTGTGTTTGGTGGCGTGATCATTATTATTTAGAGTCATTGCGTGCCTATTGATTTGAACACGATCCGTGTATCCATCATTTCCTGGTCTTCTCTAAAGAAGAGGGACCAATGGAAACGTTGTCATGTTGCCGTTGTTCAGCATGGAAACATTCATTAGCTAACAATGACATTATTGTTCTATTAATATAAAGGGAGGTCAGGTACTCTTTAAAACAGCTGCTAGTTATGGGTACTTTTTACTGAAGTACATTTCAAAGTTCTTTAATTTGACTTGAGTAAAGAAGTTTAGTCAGTACTTTTACCAGAGTATTTTAAAACCTGAGTATCTGTAGTACTTGAGTAAAGGATGTGTACTTTTGCCATCTCTGCACTTTGGAAAGCTAACGTCTCGAGCTAATAGTGTTAGCTTCTTTAGTAACTTCAGTGCTCTTACCTGCAGGCACGCTCAAGTTCTTTACTCAAGCCCTTTGACTTGAGTAAAGAAGTTTAGTCAGTACTTCTACTTTCACCAGAGTATTTTTAAACACGAGTATCTGTACTTCTACTTGAGTAAAGGATGTGTGTACTTCTACTGGAGTAAAGGATGTGTGTACTTGTGCTCACACACACCACAGAGATCACGTTGCTGATTGGCTGAAAGGGGTTTGGGATGTTTTCCTCGTCGAGCTCCTCTTCCTCGATAGGCCTTCCCTCGCGTTCTGCCTCTTCGCGCTCTTCTCGCTCCCTACGGACACAACACCACGTTCACTTTGAAGCTCAATGATGCAACGCTTTGAGATTTAATAACCAGTCAGGGGGAGTTTTCCCCTCGATCGAAACAAAGTGCAATATCCAGGGTTCTTAGAGGCTATAAAAGTGAGAGTGAAGCACTTTGGAAAAACTTTTAAGCATCGTAAACTAAACTGTACTTTGTGTATTTACTAGATTGCGTATTTAAAACTCCAAAAGCTAATTTCTTGATTTTTCTGGAGGGCTTTATTGCTGAAATGTTATCTCAGAGTCCCTTCGTGATCCTCACCTCTCCTGTCGTATCCTCCTCACCCTCTCCGCCCTCTCCTTCTTGTCCTGTTCCTCCTGAGCGCGCTGCTCCGCCGTGTCTTTCTGCACGCGCTCAGTAATGGCCTCGTAGTCTTTGGCAATGTTGTTGAGGAGCCACTTCAGGCCCTTCTTGATGGACTTGTCGACCTTTTTGCCGTAACCCAGAACGGCCGAGCATGGCTCCTGGGGGACGGATGCATATTAGGAAACCTCTCCGAAAAAGATTTAGCTTTACGAGAGATGAAAAGCAGACATACTAAAGAAGGAGAGTGAACTGGGCCTTTGAGTGTGTTTGGGGGGAAGCTGCAGTTCAATGCCCTTGATGAAATTCAAGTGGCGTTTCCACAACAGGTGCACAAACACTTACGATCTGACAGAGACACTTGTTCTCGTTAACAAGCTTCTCTAACGACAGGTTCTCAATGATGTCGGCCTCAGCCAGCGCTCCCTCCTGGTCCTGCTTGTTGGCAAGCCTGAGAGCACAGAGAGGAATAAGGAGATATTAGTGATTAACGTCGAGTAGGAAAAGCTAAATAAATACAATCCCTCTCCTGTGACTCGACCGGAGGAGCTCAAGCTGCAGGGACAGCTGTTCAACTCAATCTCTGCACAAAGTGTTAGTGGCTGGAAAGCTTATGGAAATATGACTTGTTTGAATAAAACACCATCTGACTACCTGAAGAAGTTCTGTGTGTCTCAACGTATGCTGGGTGTCCCGATCACTGATTATGCAGATTAATCTTTTTCTCGTTTTCAGACTTCTAGGTGAACCAGTTTCTCTGTGACCAACTCGTCTTTTACACCTCTGTGCTTTCACTTTTTAGAGTAGTTTTAAAGGTCCCTTATTATCCTGTTTCTCATCAATATATCACAGGTCTCAGATATATACAGAGCCTGTCTCTGATTGGCTGAAACACCAAACAGATCATTGCAGCATTACCCATAATCCCCTCTGTTTCAGCCCTGTTTCCAAAGTGCTGATTCTCTGTCTGTTACTTTAGATGAAAATAAGGAGCCCCTCCCCACGCCCCTCTGAGAGACATTTGGTTACAAAGAAGTCAATGGTGCTCTAGAGGAGATTCAGGTGATAAGGTGGGGGGGGTACCTTGGTTGGTGATTGGCTAATGGTTACACGAGCCAACACATCGTTATGACATCATAAAGTGGCCAAAATCTGATCAGCTCATTTTCAGATAGGTTTTTATAGAAATGGATCAAAAAGAGAGAGAATCTTTCAGAGTCTCTTTCCACAGAGGGGACACATGTTGATGTAGAAGAGACATGGAGAAGAGGGGACACATGTTGATGTAGAAGAGACATGAAGAAGAGGGGACACATGTTGATGTAGAAGAGACATGAA